ACATTTAAACTGTTGTTAAAGTCATTCGAAGTTTTGCCTAACTAAGTTCAGGACTGGATCCATGCTAGCAAATGACTACTATTGGTAACGTAGTTAAGAAGCTACAATTTGTAATTTAGGACACCAGGAACATGCTTGCTTTATCCATGCCATAAGCAGATATTGTACACTGTTAGCCAATTAGTTCAGGATTAGGGATGCTCTGAGTCAAATTCTGCTCTAGGTTACACTTGTTCATCCTGTTTGCTAGTGAAGCTTTTAAGTTCCTTGAAACAAAAAGCGGTACACCAAGGGTTTGTCTAAACTACAGTTGGAGGCATGATTGGAGCTTGGGTAGGCATATCCGAGCTAACTTTAATCTAGTGAGCACAACTAAAAATAGCAGTGAAGCTTCAGTGGCAAGGACCCGGGCACAGGCTGTACAAGCCTTCCTGGAACCTTGGGTGCATGCTTGTGTTGCTAGCCGGCACCAGGATCTGAAGAGCAGCTCAGTCCCTGGTTTGCAAGTGGGAGTAGGACTTCACCTTCCTGATCTGAATCTCCCCACTGAACAGCTTAGTTATTCAAGCTGTGCATTGGGAGTAGAATTTACTTATAAACTAACATTACGTCTGACTAAGAACGCATTGGAGTCAGGAGAATCTCAGTTTATATTTGTCATTGTTTTTATCCTTCATGGTTACAGAGAAAAGCTTGAACATGTGAACCCTAAAGGCTGAAAAAACAGAAGGCAAATAAAAAGAACCAAAAATATATTAAATCTTGTGACTTTTTTAAAGTCAGTCTCATGATTTTGGGGAGGCTTGACTTGATTTTTGAATGCTTTGGATTGCCAGTACTAAATGTGGGATAATTATAGTGCAATCAAAAAGCTAAAACTTCAATTATTCAAAATATTTCATAGATTCCTTGGGATTCCTTTTAAAAAGTGATAATTAAATTTAAGAAATGGAAATTAGAAAAGGACATAGCAGACTATCTGATCCTACACTTCTTACTTTGACAATTTCAACTGACTTCAGAAAGGTGTATAAATTTGATGAGAGAGTTGCCTGAATCTAGCCATATATTCTGGCAATGTGGTACCATACAAAATTGCTAGCTCTTGATTTTTTTCAGAAGGTCTGTTTAGTTAGTAAAATACCAGCAACTTTCATTTAAGTATTTTGAAAAGACATCTCACGCACGTCATATCTTTTTGTCATAAAATACATTGCTGAGTACATTTTTCTTATTGGCAAAACATACTCCACATTGTGCCTTTGGAAGGATGTATCTCCTCCAAAGAAACCAAATGAGTCTCTTTACTCTAGCAGTGGGTTCTGAAAGAATGATTTATAGAATGGGAAATAAAAATGTACTGAAAAAATTGTACTGAATATTTGAAAATGAATGGTATGTTAAACACTTATTTCATAAAAGATAGATGGGTTGCAAAGTGAATTGTTAGAACTTCTTTAGATCAAGGATTAATCATAAAAGAATTTATTCTGTCTTTATTTGCTGTTTAATAAAATTATAATAAAAAAATTACAATTTATGAGAGTGATCCTCCCCGTAGGTACCATTACATCTTTGGATGGGAAAGACAGGTAGAAACCAAGCAGCATGTCAAATATTAGTTATGATCTTGTTTAACTAGCCTTTTCATATTTACTATATTCTCATTTTTATTTGTGATTTAAGGACAAGAGGGTGATAGCATCTGACTGTTTATCACCTATACTCCACAGTCAAACCTCTCTCAAAATGCTTTCACATGTAAAATATGCCTAAATCAGTTCTGAGCTTAGCACAAAATCACAAATCCTCTTTGTAACACAGCTTTTCCTTTTTGTAGACATAAGTAAAGAGGTTCAGGAGCAAAGAATAATGGATGTGTCTTCTTTGGCATAGCCGTTTGACATGTTTCAAAAACAGATATTTCTTTTTGCATAGACTACACGGTAGTGCCACACAAGTCACTGCTGCTATACAAAAACACTAATCATGCTTGAACATTTAAATAAGATAAAATATTTTATCATGGGAGAGGCCTGCCATTGGTAATTAATATTGTAATATCACCATCCAGATTACAATGAAACAGCACATTTGTGTTAGCTAAAATATCCAAGGGCTGGACCAGTGTGCTTTCAGGATGCTTGTAGCTTTCATAAAGTTATAAAGAGTTTGTTTTGCTCAATATATTATGGGCTGATGCAGACAGCTTCAACAGCAGCATCCCTCCTACATCATGAATGGAATTTTTTATGCAAAATAAAAATCTTTGGGTCCAAAATGGCTGCACCTTGTATTGAATTCCCACTGAAGTCAATGCGAATTCTTTGCTGACTGGATTGTACTGCCATGGTACAGAGAACACTGTTAAGAAGGTTACATTGTCAAGCACTCAGATGTTAGAAAATGCCCTAATTAAGGTGGTCTGTTTAACCTTAATTCAGCCCCATGTGCATGGTGATGCAGTCTTTAATTACATCATCACATACTATTTTTTTCCACAGATGGACTGTACTTAATAAACAGCTAATTAATATTTTATTTACTACTTGTTGTTCAATGTATGGCCCAAGGCCTTATTTACTGTACACTATTCTGCTCTGACCCCCACATACAAATAATTTCCCAGGACTATGAAAATTTAAATTGATAAAAATAAAAAAATGCTTCAAATAAACATTGATATGATCTGTTGAAATTATAAAATAAAAACTGAATTCTGCCAAGCCTAGTCATAACTTAGCTAAATGTGGGTGACTTACACTAAGGCCACCCCTTGACAAATTTCAAGTCCCTGCTTCAAGGCATGTAGACTCCTACAGCAACTTCTAAAAATAATTCTTACAACCAATTCATTAACATGGACAAAACAATGCATTTTCCCCTAATCTTATGTCCAGAAATAGCTGAACCATTTTGCTTAAACTTTCCAAAATAATTCAGCTTGAGGCAAACACCCAGCATGGAAAATTTAAGCCCAAATGGTTAAAGTTTGGCAGAATTATAAGCAACTGAAAACAAGATCTTATAATTGGAAGCGTTAATACTTAATAGCAGATGGTGCTGCCAGCCACACCTATAATAAAAACATGGCTTACAGAGGGGGAAGCTATTTTCTGTTAATAGATATCTACTTCATTAATAGCTGTCATACAGTAAAATGGCATCATTGGAGATAACTTTGTGACCAGCAACAACGGGCCAAATAATAAAGTCCTCACTCTCTTTTTACTTAGTCTTTCCTCAGGCAAAACTCAGATTGAAGTTAGTAAGGGCTGAATCTTAGGGTTACCATACGTCTTCTTTTTCCCGGACATGTCTGGCTTTTCGGCACTCAAACC